TTGTCTTTGGATCTATTCCCAAAATAGTTCGAATTTTTATATAATATCGATTGAGTTCATTATCCATTAAAAAAAATTTTTTTTTGGTTCAAACGAAAGTTTATCTGAAAAAGTACTATAACTAAGTCCAAAATAGATTTACTATATATATTATTATAGACAAGACATTCCACTATTTATCCATGCAACACCCTCTTGAATGTTGATTGGTTTATAAAATTGCCAATAACGATTGCAGAACTTTTGGTCAGACCTAAGTATCTCTTGTCAATATACTATCAATTACATTTTGGTGAGGTAATGGCAAATCTCAAACTATAACTAGTATTGACTAAATATCTGATTACTGATATCTGAAATTCGGCGAAGAAATCAGATCTTTACTTTTGTGAATAATTTACGATTGTCACTAAAAGGCAGATATAAGATTTACTTTGTGTAAGGTTGAAAATTATCGTCTACAACGCTTGTATCACGCATTCACTTATCTGTACTATTGAGAACTGCTCTCAAAAAGCAGATATCAGATATTTACCTTGTCTAAAATTGAAAATTACCAGCAGCTATGTATGTATTAGACATCAGGTGTGGGATCTATTCGTCCTTTTTGGCAATGAAATTCAACTGAATGAAGTAAAAAAATTCTAATAAACTAACGAATGTATATTAGTGTTGCAGGTTTCAATAGGATGAGTTGACATAGGTATAGTCATCAGGTTGGGTCAATAAATCATGCGTAAGATGACGTAGAAGAAAATGAAATCGTACGAAAATTCATAGTCCCAGAAATCTTATACTACGTCAGATACTAGAAGGTTCTTGATATATCTTAGGGTGTGGGTGTGGATGGAGTGTCGGTGTGCATGAGAAGAACATCCGTCCACACCCACACTTCCCCCCATATCCACACACCAACATCCACACCCTCCGGAGTACGGAAGTCTCGCTTTTCCCCCCTTGATTATTACAGTATAGATATGTAAATTCGGGTCCTCCATAGACTGTGAGAGGTAATTTAGCAACACTGTCACCCACATCACAAATGTGGATATATGATAACAGACCATTTATCAATAACATCTCGTTACAATACATAAAACAATCTTCATGTGATTAGAAGTAATATTTATATCGTGTTCCACATTTTAATCTCGTAGGAATTGAGCTAACAACTTTTTGTTCGGTAGTAAAAGAAGAGGTATTGGGTGTAGGTGAACGGTGTATTCAGGGAAATTATCGAAAGAATCATGCGCTTGGACAAGAGTTTTGAAAGCGATTAAATCTATAGATGTTTTTCAAGTCATGTCTTCGTTTGAAGATGATTTGCTTATTTACAGCGAAAGCTGCATTTCTGAATAGTAGATACGCACACATTTGATCTATCTTAATGACAGAAAATTGCATACCATTAAGCAATTATTTTAATTCTTTTGTATAGCCATAAGAGTTTAGTGTAGTATTGAAATACAATAAATAAAATTTTTTCCTCAATACATACATAATTCTAACATTGATTAATTTGATTTATCAGGTAAAGTGGCATGGCATGAATATTTTGCTTTATATGTTAAATTTCATAATATGAATTCAACTACTGTCAAAGAAGTTGATACTTTTGATTTTGTTGAAGAACCATTTGATAATAATTGTAAATATTTAAATTAAAATATCAATTTTTCATGAATTTATTTTTATTAGTTCAACGAGAATTAGTAAAAAGTCGATTTCGTTGGACAGAAGCTGATGTTGATGGTGATAATGAACTTGATATTGATGAATTTCTTGCTTTTCGTCATCCAGAAATAGCTGGTCATTCATATAAACATATTGTTGATGATATTATCTTACAAATGGGTTTGTCAATTTTCTTTTATTGTTTTGTTTTCTGCAATATGTTATTATATGTTTAGATCGTAATGATGATCAAAAATCGAATGAAACTCAATTTGCATTTTTACCTTGTTAGTAATAATTATTTTTATTTTGAAAATAACTTATGAATAATCTTTTTGTTTGTTGTTTTTTTTTGTTATTAACAAGTGTATTAGAAGACGGTGGCAATAAAGAATGGATAGAAATGGATAAACGATGGTTAGAAGAACAAAAAAGAGAATTTCATGAGATGGATGAGAATAATGATGGAATTTTAACAAAAGACGAATTATTAGTAATTTATTTCTTTTTTTCTTATTCTTAAAAACATGTTTTTTTTTATTTTTAGAAAGCATATGATCCAATGAATCGTGTTCATATAAGTAATCAAATAAAAAAAATATTTGAAAAAGTTGATGATTCTCCATCAGACTATGTTTTAACATTGAATGAAATGCAAAAACATGCTGATCTTTTTACGGATATGCGTATTTTAGACACAAAAAGAGCATTATATTATGAAATATAAAATCGTCAATAGATTTACTGTTTCCAGTTTCTTTTTGTTTATTTCTACATATTTTCCAATTAATTAGTATTTTATGTGATCTTACTGTTTGTTTTTTTTTATTGTTTTTCTCAGCTTTTTGTGCACACACCTTTAAATAAGACGAAAAATATATGTATTCATTTGCAAGTATTTAAGAAATATTGAATACTATAATTTGTATTAATGACGTGTATATCAAGTTCATGTCGAAATGCTTGGATTTGAATTTGTAAAGATTGATAGTTTTGAAATAATAGTGCTGTGCAATGTCTTTTATTGTTGATCATATATGTTTATGTGAAATTGATGTAGTATAATCCCCATATATTATCTTTCATTGGTAAAAAAAGGAGTACATTTGCTCGAGAATTCGGACTTCTAGAACTTTGACAAGTACCTGATGGTGAGCAATGTGCCATTTTCTTCTAATATAATGTTTGCTTCTGAAACTTTCAGGAAATAATGGGCAACTGTTAAGAGACGATCCGCGAGACCACCAAACAAGTCGGCCGCCGACAAAATTTTGATTTTCGATTTAGGTATCTCAAATGGAAGGTCTAGTCAAACCATAGACAAATCCAAAATATTAGCTCTTTCTGACTTCCCTATGAAAAATGGCATAGTATACAAGTGATACACTCTCCGGAACCTGGAAAAAAGGCAGTTTTTTAGGGTGACCTTAGTATTTTGCACTTTTCTCTGCATCTGCTCATTCATTCGAGTTCCGGCACGTCTCAAAAGATGCAGAAATGTTTTTTCTACAAAAGTTGATAATTGCTTATGTTCTACAATGCCATTCATCAAGTGATAATNATATCATTGATTTGTCTGTTTACAGTGTTAAGACATTTTCTTTTTCTCAAACATGGGTGTGGGTGTGGGTGTGGATGTGGGTGTGGGTGTGGGTGTGGGTGTGGGTATGGGTATGTGACTGTGGGTGTGGGTAATACTCTTTAGTTGAGACACATGAAGACCCACACCCACACCCACACCCTTATTTGAGAAAAAGAAAATGTCTTAACACTGTAAACAGACAAATCAATGATATTCATTAATGCAAAATTTAATAGCTTATTTGGTTCATTAACCTGCCGATTTTAAGGTGTCGACAATCGAACTTTGACCAAAATTTTTTTTTTTATAATTGAATTCGCTTTTTAAAAAAGACAGAGAAGCCTATGAGAATTTAAAAACGTCAAAGTAAAAATTTTCTATAGTCTCAATTTTTATCGAAACATTTGTTTTGATTTTACTCTTCATATAAGTGGAAAAAAAAGATTATGCATACTTTTTGAAAAATATCATTTGATTATTTTTCAATATGATAGCAATAAAGAAATAAATACGGATTTGTATTTTAAGATGTTGACTATAAGAACTTCAGTTCCGCGAGAAAAAAATATTATATTTTCAATCACAACAAAAGTCTGCATGAAATAATAAACTCAATGCTTAAGACTAATTTTCGTCTTTGCTTTCCTCATTGTTATTATGCAATAATCTGAATTGTGCTCCCCTTTAAGTCGAAATTTGACGAAAACTAATATTGAATTTATAGCGTTGATTCTGAATATAAAATTCGTTTCTTTCGGAATTGAAGTTTTGATAGTCAAAAACTTAGAATGCAAATCCGTATTTATGTCTTTTTTGGCGATCAATTGATATTTTTTTCTAGCTAAATGAAGAGCGAGATCGAAAGAAATATTTAGATAAATATTTTGAATATATGAAATACATAACTTCATTTATTCATTTAAATTAAATAAGTACAAATCAATAATATCGAAAAACACTATCTTATTGTTATTCAGTTTGCCCTAGTTTTTTTTTAATCCCATGCTTTCAAATTTAATTGCACACATTTTATTTTTCGAACTAAGTTTGAACACGTGCAATAATGAAACTGAATATTCATCGGCGTATACTTGATGACTTTTTCGAATTCTATAACTGTTTTATTATTTTACTCAGTCATCACTATGTCTGTAGAAAAGATAAAATAATTGCGACGGACTAAATTAGCGGTCGAAAAATCGTTATCCAATAGTAGACAACAGGAGAGACAAAAAAAAATAGATCATTTGCACTATAAATACATTGTGTAAACGAAATTTTCTTCTTTAATATTCATTTTTCTTTCGCAAATCAAATCAAGTTGAAACCAGTAAATACAAATTATCTTAAAATTTCGTATATATTCTATCAAATAGGTTGTTATTAAGATGCCACCCAAACAAACATCGTCATCATCAGCTACTGCTGCTGCACAAGCAGCAAAAACTAATCATGCAAATCAATGCAATCCTAATCATCCCGAATTTCAAGGTCATCAACAGGGCTATACCGGTAAAGGTAATAAAGCTGATTTAGATCATCATGCAAAACAATTAAATCCCAACAATGAACTTTTTCGACCTCGTGGACCGAAATAATTCAAAAACATTATATAAATATTTGATTTCTTTCTATGCCATTTATTCACGCATTTGTTTTTCTTTTTGAAAATAAACATTGTTGATAATACACAACAGAAATGAAATTAGATTAATGAAGTTTATGATTGAACAAGGTCAAAAAAAAACTTAATTGAGATTTGCTTGACAATAGTTCAGACAAATAAATTTTAACAGTTTGAATGACATTTTTTGGGTTTTTTCGTGCAACGAAAAACAAATCAGATTCCGCTGAGTAATCTTGAAGAGCTTTTACTTCTTATTTAGTTAAAAACATATTATTACAAATTAATGATTTCATTTCAAAGCTAAAAGCAAAAGAATTTTCTCCATATAATATAAATATTGATTGATCAGAATATATATTTCCTTGAAAAGTGAAGAAAACATTCAAACAAAAAAAAAACTAGCACAATATACAAACTCTATTTTTTACTTGAAGTTTTCCAATTGTCTAGAATTTGTAGTTTCATACGACAGATTTTAGAATTGATGTTTATTGAATATTTGAAAATTTACACTTAAATAAATCAAATTATAACATTATTCTTATCAGCAATGCTAAGTTGTCACTTTCTTATGTGTGTCATTTAGATCGAATATGAAAAACAATAGCAAATTAGACGATGAGAATTTTTTTAAATGGAAGCATTTGGACAGTATATGAAATGAGGAAAATGAAGATGAAGACTTCTAAATATTTTCTCGTTCAAAAGAATTAAAAAACCGAGTAGCTAAAATCGAATCAAATTTTTTATTATTGAATATGAAAGAAAAGCAAAAAGTAATTTGAAATAATTGTTGATCGACTTGGAAGAATCATTTTATTCTATAATACTTTTTTTGCTACAATAAAAGAACAATCTTTGAAGAGATCACATGCTGCCAAGAGATAATTATTCTAGTGAGAGTATACAACGTTTTTATTTCATTTTGTAATGCTGCTGTTCATCTATTTTTTTCTACTTAAATATGAAATAATCTATCTATCAAGTAACATTTGTTTTACCGAGATTAATATTACAGATTTATGAATACAAATAAGAATCAAATAAATTATATGTATTTATTTTGTCAAATTTCTCGTAATATTACTAGGTGTCTATTTTATATGTATTAGTTCGACAAACGAAAATATTATTTTTAACGTGCATAATGTGTATCAATGTCTCTAATAGCTTCGGCATAAGTTTTTGGAAAAATTAATGCAATTCGTTTTTCTCGTTGTTCTTCTTATTCTCTATATAATTCAAGTATTGTTTGAAATTTTTCTTCAGTCATACCAAGTTTTTTTGCTAATGCAGATATTGCATCAATTTCTCGTTGTCTTAAAGTACCATCGGCAGATGCTGCTCGAAATCCATCATAAATAAGTTCAGCTTGCAAATATTCGGCAGTTTTTTTATTTACTATCATTATTAAAAATAGTTGCATAAGTCTTCAGAACCTAATTTATAACCTTTAAGAACATTAAGTTCTTCTTGTTTTACACCTAAATAGAATTTATTCATTTAATTTATTGAAAATAATCATGATATACCCATTGAGTTATTAATTGATAAATTGGTAGCCTAGGCATTTCTAAACGAGTGCAGATAGTTCGATAAGCACGACACAGGCGTAATCAGTTGTGTGATTAATATATACATATAATTGTAATTCGTTTTTTTTTATTAATCATGTGTGACGAAGAAAATAAACGCAAAAAATGCATCTCATGGTACGAAGAAGAAAAGAAAAAAAGTAGTATTGAGCAAATAAGCATGTAAAAAAAATGCTTCGTTTATTAATTTCAGAACGAGACGACAATTAGGTGATGGTAATGTGTATTTAAATAATATCAATAGTCGTTCGAAGGTATTTGTTTGGCATGATAGAATTAAAATTGTTTGTTTGCTAACAGAGTTAAGATGCACGCAAAGCAAAAATGCAGTAAAAAAAATTTTTATTTTTATTTTTATACACCATTCGATAGAGAATATCACGGCGGTCAAGAATATATGTGTCTTGCATTTTTTAAAGCCCTTTTTCTGCTCAAAAAATTGAAAAAACTTTGCAGGTGTCAAAAACAGATAATTTGGTAACTTTTCATAGATTCCTCTTTTTTTAAAATATGTTACGAGATAAAATCTTCTAACTTAGTTTTTCTGATAGATCATGCAAAGCTGAATAAGAAACTGGTCTCAAATCATTTCTGGAGTAAAGCATTGGTTCATAAAATAGTTTCCAAAACTGATACTCAAAAACCGGAACTTAATTTTGCAAGTCTATCAGAGGTTTTTTAGATGACTTAGAGCCAATATTTTTACATGGTTAGATTCGTAGCTTCAAATCTATAAAGAGCTTTTTCAAAAATTCCTTTCCGTTGCTGAGAAAAGTCGATTTTACTGAGGACACCTCAAAATTGGCCAGGTGATTTTTGGTTATTTTTTTCTGTTCTCTCCCAACATAGTCACAACATACTCAAATAGGTTAAAATCGATGCCCAATCGAACAGACATACTCTCGAGATCTTCAGACGATTTCTAGAAGGTTTTCAAAAGGTTTCTGGAAGGTTTTTGAGCCAAGAGCGAGTAGTTTATTGGGCTTCGGATTGCATAGATGCAACTGAAGTGAAAACAAAATATTCTCTGTTCGTTAAAGTATCTACTGGTATATTTATTCCAATATAGTCACAATGAAAATCCCATGAAAACAATAGGAAAAGTCATCATTTTAAAGTCACAAACTAAACACTTAAGTTACTGTTACTAATACGTGTATGACTTTTAACTGTTCCTTCACATTTAGTACTAAAAAACATCTTCATTACTTCCGCATACGACTGACCATCTCTATAAGCCAATTCACTTCAGTTGCATCTATGCAATCCGAAGCCCAAAATACTAATCGCTCTTATCTCAAAAACCTTCGAGAAACCTTTTGAAAGCCTCCAAGAAATCCTCTGAAGATCTCGAGAGTATGTCTGTTGAATTGGACATCAATTTTAACCTATTAGAGTATATTTTGACTATCTTAGGAGAGAACAGGAAAGAGTGACAAAAAATCACCTAGCCGATTTTGAGATGTCCTCAGTAAAATCGACTTTTCTCAGCAACGGAAAGAAATTTTTGAAAAAGCTCTTTATAGATTTGAAGCTACGAATCTAACCATGTAAAAATATTGGCTCTAAGTCATTAGAAAAACCTCTGATAGACTTGCAAAATTAAGTTCCGGTTTTTGAGTATCAGTTTTTGGAAACTATTTTATGAACGAATGCTTTAGTCTAGAACTGGTTTGAGACCAGTTTCTTATTCAGCTTTGCATGATCTATCAGAAAAACTAAGTTAGAAGATTTTATCTCGTAACATATTTTAAAAAAAGAGGAATCTATGAAAAGTTACCAAATTATCTGTTTTTGACACCTGCAAAGTTTTTTCAATTTTTTGAGCAGAAAAAGGGCTTTAAAAAATGCAAGACACATATATTCTTGACCGCCGTGATATTCTCTATCGAATGGTGTATGAAAATAAAAATAAAAAAATTTCACTGCAACTTTGATTTCCGTGCATCTTATATATTTGATGAAATAATCGGAAAAATAGATCAAAAACTAAAAGTGATTTTATTCCATAAAATATATATTTTTAATGATCATGAAAAATTGTGCTATACGAAAAATGATTGCAAATGATATTATGGCTATGAATTCTTTTTTCTACATGAAATTAATTGAAAACAGAAAGCCGCTTCTCGCTTTTTCAGAATTTTTTCTAAGAAGAAGGTAAGTTGTATTTATTTCTACGTTCGTATTTTTTCTTTTTCCCATTATTTTAATTATTTTCTTACCGTTTTGAAATTTTTTTTGTGTTAATATCCATGTAATAACTAAAACAGATTGATAAAGACTTCATTTATTACAAACGCAGCTTTCATAATGTTGATATCCATGTTTCAAAGTTAAACTCCTTGAAATTGATCAGAATCAAATTAAGTATTAGATAGGAATAATATTAGATAAAATCTGAATGGATTGTCGAATGATGAAATCTATTAATGATTCATTTCTAAATTATTTATTTTAATTCGACTAAAAAAGAAATATTTGCTTGTTTGAGAATATAATTTTTTTTTCATATTTAAATAAGTAATCAGCCGTCCATTTGAGAAAAAAATTCAACATTTGACAGTGATTTTGATTGACACTCTTCTTCTACAGTTCCCTAATTATCAGTAGATAAGGATCAGAAAGATTATGGAGAGAAACTGTATATCGAATGCTAAAATGAGATATAAACTAATATGTCTCACTTGAAGGAAACAATAAAGTGACATCAAATAGAACACTAACCGAATCTAGACCAATTTTGTTTCATGAATCACGACTGCCTCTTATTCTTAGACTACTGACAAATATTAGTTTGGGTTGCTACCTTAGCAATAATGTAGTGAAATCAACTTCATCAAAGTCCTATAAAGAGGCTTGGATCAATTCTCTTCTAATATGACGTTCACATAGGGTTTTCAATGATATCAACAAACATTGTTTTTCAAAAATTTAGAACAATGTTTTTATTTCGACTTTTAAAAAGCAGTTTTATTACATTTATCTACGGAAAGTTTATATTAAGTAGTGCTATTTCTTGGTTTCATCTAAAGAGAATACCATAAAGGAAAGAAATAGAATACGAAAAATTAAGAAATAAATACCAATTGATGAGCAATGTCTCGAAAATAATTTCAATAAAGTATACAACAAAATTTCTTTGACATAGAGAAGAATAAGCTGTATGATACATGCAAATTTCTATGATGATCTAGAATCACTACAAGATTTTGAAATGATTACAATGCATAAAAAGAAAGAAGATATAGTGATTTCAATCGTGACTATTTTAAATTTTCTTTTATACATATACTAATTGTCGTTAACGAGTTGATAAAATTGAAATCATGCTCTATGCATTTAAATAATCGGTAACCTATTTAAATAACTGCATCGCTATTTATGATGATATTGTATATCTATTCAAACAATGACATAGCTTTTTAAGGACATAAATTGCTATTTTAAGTTGATTGACTATTTAAAAATATCCAGTGTTACTTAATAAATGTTTAGTAAATAGAAATATAATTTCAATTTCTTAATTAAGCATTACTAATACAAATTTAAGCAAAGGTTAAAAGAATAAATAAATAAGTAAAAGTCTATGTTTATGTTGTGCCTGTTAAATCGAAAAATATATATCGATTTTAATAATAGATCGTTGAATAAGTATAACTAAAGAAAGATCTCGAACAGATTATTGGTAATAGTAACTCAATATTCGTATTCATCTTGTTTTGTTTTGTTTTATTATTTCTTACTAATGTTAGTATATAAATGCATCAATACCTCGATTAGTTTGTATTTATTCGATGCCTGATAGCATGTTATAATATTTATTAGATAGTATGTTCAAGTTCAAAAATAAATACTCATTGCATTTATAGAAAGAATTATGCTTGGTGCACTCTACAAATTACAGTTAGTCAGAAATAAAATTGTAGCTATTTTTTTTGCTAAAATTAATATAGGCAGATTTTTAAAGATTTAAAAGATGCAAGTTTTAATTTTTCGATTGATTGATTCAAATTAAGAAAGAGTAAAAAAAAATTTTTTTTGAAGCTCTTAAACGAAAAATTTAATAATCTGAAAGTTAAAAATTTAAGACAGTGGATTGTTTTCTTTATTATCTTAAAGATTTAAATGGACGAAAAATTGAAATTGAATTTATTAATTTTCAAATTTTAACTTCATGCTCATAAATGAGAGGATATATCAACAAACAGATGCTGTCTGTACTGTAGCACCCATTTTAAACTTTAGTGATGATTTCAACTGGCACTTTGTTCTAGTTTGCCTTCATTTGATCGATAAACTATTACATATAAAAGATAAATGTTTCGTTTTAAAAAAAATGTAGTTCAACAGGAACATGACTTATAATTCCGTTGGTCTTCTATCATTCTGTTATTGTTTTTTGATCCCATTTAGAAAATTTGATCAATATATTTTCTATTGAGGCCAATTCGTGCAAAATTGTATTCACCAAGAATTTGAACAAAGCCAAAGAAAAGTCACTCCTACTAACTAATCGTTATTGGTCGATGAGTCGAAATAAACAAATCGCTAAAATTCTTAGCTTCGTTGACTCACAGCCTACAGAAATCAATGGTGAATATCACTAGCGTTCCAGATTAATATTGATTTGCACTAAAGTCATTGTCCCATCGTAAACATTAGTCTATTCACATACATATTCGACGAAGAAAACATTTTATTTGATTTCAATGAAACCATTCCTATTGCAAGTGTTATTGCAAACAAAAGTAAATTATATTCCGCATTGGCGTATTTCCATGAACGTGTTAAAACTTGGTGATATGAGATTTAACTAGACTCGAATTCTTTTGGATCGCAAAGTCAATTGTCAATGAATTCGGTACTTTAATGAAGCTGAACAATAGTTTCCACTATTGATGTCAACTAGGACTAGACATTAATGAGCAAAAAATATGTCAAGTTCTCATACGTTTTACTTTATCTCTATCAGCATGTTTCTTGTTCCATGATAATCCTTTTTAGTTAGTTCAATGGCTATAACCTGCTATTGGACTGTTGCAATCTAAAGTACACGACTATCCATATACTTTTGAATAACGGACAAGAATCATAGATAGACACATTTTATCAAGTAGAATTTTGTTTTTAGCTCGATTTTATATATAGCCAACTCAAATATTATAATCATGGAGTTGAATCGCTCGAATGATGTTCTTGTTCACACTAGCAATTCGCCATTCATTTTCAAGGCTCCATGCCGAATGCAAATGGATTATTTTATTGCTATCTCGATGAAGTTTATTATATGCATGATGAACAATATCAACAAACACTCGAATATTTTTAAGATTTAACAAGTTTTTTATGATGCGTACTCGTCTGATGACTATTGTGAACTGACATAACGCGATTAGTGACTTGTCACGATATATATAAAACCAGATATCTAAGTGTTATTAGATGATTATGCTCTCAGTGTGAATAACTTTTTGCTCTAATCAAAATTGCCTTTATCGACGAACACAATGTTGAAAATAGTCTAGCATATTTGGTAACGAGCACTTTCTTTAAACAAAAAATAAATGAAACTTCCAGTAAGAAACAAATTGTAAAAAATGAACTCTGTTTGAGATGTATAACTAAGTCGTTTACTCTTCCTGTGTCAATAACTTTGGAACTTCTAACTGTTTTTCTTTATCAATAGACTTTTACGTGATGCAGACGAGCGGATGGATGAACTGAACATATACGTATACTTCTTGGAAACAAGTCAAGATTTTGCATGCATCTGTCGCCTCGAAATAGTGATTACTAAAATTCAATTAATCGACTTATTCATCAAAATTGGACAGCAAAACAAGATATTGAATAAATTTAATTAGAAATATCTCCCAATTTGAAAGCATAACTTATCAATTGTATTTCTAATTGATGAACATAATAATTTGGTTTCTTTTTCTGCTAATACTCAAAGCAAACTTTAATTCTCTTACATAATTTTTCTTCATTTTTAATTAAAGAAAAACAACAAATAATGCGATTCTAATAGTCTTGATCTCGAGAACGAAATGTTACAACAGAAAGAAATTCATTATTATTAATAAAGAAGAAAACGTACTATAACGTAAAATGCTATTTGGAAAAGAAGATATAACTAAACTCGAGTTCTTCGCTGTTCATTTAACAAGACTGATATATTGTAGATAATTTCATCTTCTTGATAATGTTCTCCATCTTATTTTCTTCTTCATTTTCATTGAAGCCTGTCAAAGTAATTCTCTACATTGAGTAAACTTAAGTTATTGCAATAGAAGGAGTCGACACATTGACTAGAGGAATACGTTAATATGTTATATCAGATACGACGAAAAGAAACGACTGAAAAAAACCACGTATTGAAGAAGATGAATCAAGCAGGATTTTTACAACTAAAGTTAGTCGACGTCAATGGAGGGTGACGATGAAATAAGTTTTGACATCTATAGTAGGCAATCGAATGATAAAAAAATTAAGAAATAACAAGAAAGTTATACAGGATGATTCGCCTATACAAATTTTTCTTTTTTTCTTCCTCTCTTCTACAGAATCGTACACATAACAAGCACAACACCTACCCTATATGCGTCGTTTTCTTTTTTTTCCTTCTTTCTACTCTTTTTTATGATATTGTTCAGATATTTTTTCTTTTTCGTTCATGTTTCTATTCCATCACATTCGGTTTGTCCATAACTTGTTCACTATATATATTGATTTTTTGAAAACTAATAAACGAGAAGTTTGTGTTTGACGAGTTAAATCAATTCACTTGTTTACAAGCTAATACGTACACTTGCTGTTTATTGCCAAAAACTAGCATGTGTGGGCTCATGAAAAATACGTCACTACATGACAGTATGAAAAACAAAAAAATACATATAATATAATAAGACGAAAAAAAAATCAGAATATACAGGAGTAGGGCGATGAAAATTAACTGATAATAATCGCTGATTTTATTGCGTTCTAAAAATATATTGCATTCCTGTATCTTTGTTTGATGTGAAAATTATTGTGTTCGTCCTAATTCAAATCAATACATGATGACGTTCGTATATTGCGAAAAAAAGTCGGGCAGTAATACAGAAACACATTATTTACCTTAGATGTTTTTCTTCGTTATCAACTCTGTTCCTACGTCATAATTGGTGACGAATGTTGTTTAAAGCGTTGGCAACGATATTTTTTTACGTAGTAAGAGCGAGCTAATGCGAAAATTTTCTTCTATAAAAAGATAGCTTATTATATCTGTGATAAATATTTATCTATTGAATTTTATTAAGTGTGATGGAACAATCACGCACCTTGAATGAAGCATTGAAACTCTTGACTGGATTAGATAATGATTCAACAAAACGTGCCAACATTGTTGAATATGTGAAAGAAAATGGAAGAATTGCCGTGTTCGCTTATGGATCTTTGATTTGGAATCCTTGTGAACATGTAGAACAGATTATTCCTGACTGTCTATTGAATGGTTACATTAAAGGATTCATTTGCCAAGACTTTATCTATCGAGGAACAAAAGATTTTACGGGTCTAACAATGGGTTTAAAACCATGTGAAGATTGTTTCGTTAAAGGTTATATGTTGATGGCTGGTGCCAATAAATTGATTTCATTCATTGAAGCTTTTATCAAGCGTGAAACTCCGATCAGTGTCGATGGTACCAAGATGGATATTTATACATATGACTTTCTTCCTGTGATAATGTCGGATGGAAAAACGATCGAATGGGCATTGACTTGTGTTGTTAATAGTAACAGTCAATTCTATCTACCGATGACTCTTTCCATCAAACAACAAGCTGAGATTATTAGTCAAGCTTATGGAATTAATGGAACCAATTTTCAGTATTTGCATAACACTCTGCACACTTATCGGCGATTGTCTTTAATCGATACATTTACTGGAGAAATAGAAGAACTTTATGCTGCCGTTCTTATTTACCGTAAATATTTAAACAAACATGAACGACAATGGCTTGAAAGTTTTGAAAAATTGACGACGAAAGATGAACGAGAACTAGCGATTAAATTACGAAAGACAAACAATATTCGCATGAGACAGCAAAAGTTATTCGCTCGCGCGTATTCAATAGAACCCACAGTCTCTGCGAAATATAATCGAATGGTATCCGTTTAATCACAACAGAAGTATCTTATCTTCACCATCATGTTGCTACTTGAGTCGGTTCTATCAGAGCTGAGCCATCAAAAACTACAATATTTTCTATTACTTATTGTTGTGTTATTTCTAGAATAGCCCTTCTTGTTTTCGTATATTACTATCTCTGTTCTCCTCTAAAGTATTGTACATTTATTTTGTGTTGAAGAATAGAATGACACGACCGTTTTGATCGCATTACGTTTCAAACATCTCGACTATCCCTTCTGTTTTGAAAGCAAAGCTCTCGATAGTTTTCGAAGAGTAAGGAGTGACATTTTTGGCTGACAATTGGAGGAAGTTTGATCGGTAGAAAGTGAATAAGAAAAGTTACCTTCTAACACTTGGTTGTCAGTGCTCCGACAATAGCTCAGAATTTTTGCAGACACCATGTAAAAGTGGGAGAGGGGCTAGCTAAAGAGAAGATGACGTTCTCTCATGCTTTATGAAGCGGAAAAAGTACAAGAGTAACGTGGGAGTACACTGAATATCAGAGTACAGTCTTATAACTAGGAAAAATCTAGACCTAAATCCAACAATATCGCGACGTTTTCTTATACTTCACGTACTCTAATGATACTTTCCTGTTCGCACAGTTCTCTTACTATAACTCACGTGCTTTCACTCTATTCTTAGCATAATTTCGTACTCCGACTGTAGTCTTGTGCTTCAGAATGTACGGGAGTCCGCCGTTTTCTCCCTTCACTAAAAAACTAATAAGTTTTTTCAAAAATTGAATTTAACTGTTAGGTTTGAGATATGTGAGTGATAGTAAGCAGATAAAGGCATAATGGTTTTGAGTCGGACGCTCAAAACGATTTCCTATGAATTGTCTATACTTGATCAAATGAGTCACTGTCAATAAATTGCTCTTAACGTTAACCTAATAACTATCTATAGTGCAAAAGGCAAAGACAATAGTTTCGTTATTTTGTTTTGCGTCCTTAATGTTAACAAAATTGATTTTTCGAATAGTAGACAATGACCGGATGTTGTACTGGCTTGCAAAGAGCAAGCTTTTTATACTATTGGCAACCTTATAGAAATTACAATGAATGCTCCTTTTTAAAATAAATTTTTTATCAATATTGACAGAGGTATGTTCAGATTTCCAAAAAAGGAAATTACCCAAATTTCTGAAATTTCCATCAGCTCGATAATTATATAACAGTGCAAATCAAAAGTTTTTAGACATATTGGAAATTTCGGAAATTACATCCTTTTGGGAAGTAACGTACAATTCAGAATAGGAATGCTTGAAATCTCCGAAACTTCCGAAATTTCCTTTTTCGAAAGTCTGAACACTGCTGACTGTATGAGAAAGCATAGAGTTGGTTTATTTCAAAAGAAAAACACAATGTCGATTATGATTCAATAAAGAATATTTTGACAAAAAATAGTTTTAAATTATTCATACTGTTCATTAAAAGCTGTCTTTTATCAAACAGTTAATGTATTTATTGATTGACATACATATTAATTTATAAAATTATTTTTCATATATTTGATTATTTCTCATTGAACGATATTATCTACATATGGTTATATATAAATCAACGATTACATTTCGATTTTATTGAAAAATTAATTTTACTTGATTAGATAATATCAAATTATAATTATTGAACTTAAATTTTCAGAAAAGTATTTTCTTAATAATTTCAATCGAATAATCAATTCTATACTATCATGAAATGATTGTTCAATTAACGAATGAGAATTATTTAATAATAAAAACTTATTGCAAGTATTTGAATATTTATTTGAATATCTCTTGATTTTCTCTGAAGTCTTAACCTGTTTAAGTGGAATTCTAATCCAAAGTCACTAATGTTTAATTTAAGTGAATGAAAAATATACTTGCAATTATTAAATATTTACATCAAATTTAACTTATTTTAATATTGAATTAGATATATTTGGTTATAGCTTAATAAAATACTCTAGGATTAAGAATCTTCAAGAAATAAAATATTTTAATATAAGAAGAAATCATTTCCAGTAAATGAATGCTTTGAGATGATTTTCATTGTTATTAAATTATTTATTCATAAATTTTCTTGATATTTGTATTAATTCTACAACAGAAATTCCCATTTATTGGCATTAATGATCAAGATATTTTTATCAAAGTTTGAAAATCAATTTCTGTTTGATCATAACAGGTAAATCGACATACATAAAAGTTATCTGTACACATAACTTTTTTATTTTATGAACTCAATGTCTTTATAGGTTTAAATCATATGAAATCAACAAACTATAAAGATAATTCTTAAAAATATCATGCAATATTACATCGATTGAACTGATCAAAACTATAATATTTCGATCTGAATTTAATAAAATATCTTAAAATATAAATTCTAAAATAAATGCTAATGAAGCTCAATTGAAATTCTTTTTCAACTCGAATATTCATATGCAATCAATGTAACATTAAATTTTATAGCAATTATTATTGTTGCTGATTAATTTATTGAAGATATTAAACAATATCTAATATTTACATTACTAAATCGAAACTCTATTGTTTCTAGTACCTCATAGATGGTTTTTAGTAGGTCGATAGTTGAGTATTTTAGAAAACGAGATGTTTTTGACTGTTCAATTAGTTAATCATTGATAAGATTTTCAATGCAAGGCATCGAGCACTTATTTTATAGCTATTTTTAAGCCTTGACGTATTGAGATAGTTATCAGAAGAGTACTGGATTAATTGTCAGTAATATATTAGTAATAGAATCTTTTCTTTCGGATATCATGATAGAACTATTTCAGTAAACAAGTATTCTGAACTCATAGGCTTTACCAGCGATTAACACTACATTACATATTTGCTACAAATTCAAACTCCTTAACATCAAATTTAATTAAACTTATGGATGCATTTTCTTGTATTAAATATATAATTAACTTGAACATTTACATTTTATGTATAATTTTCAATTCTGACAGTTTAGAATTGAAATTTAACAGAACGCTGAATTATGAAGTTCATGAGCCATATGATAGTAATTATTAGTGTGAAATTACTGAAAAACTTTAAAAGGTTATGAAATTTTATTTCTCATTACATGGAAGAGAGCTGGAAGTATTTTAAATCGTCTTTTTTAATTTTTGCTTTTAAAAGAACGAAAATATTTATGCAAAATATTCGTTTCTTTGTTTTTATTTTTAAGTACAATTACAATTTGATGTGTCTCCCCTTTATATAACATGAACTATTAGATTGGAACAAGATATTTTTAATTTAATCGTTTGGGAGAATTTCAATAGATACGTTTTTTTAAATATATCCGGTCTCATCGAATGGTGCAAACCCTATTTATTATTTTCACATTACAAAGAAAACTTTATGCATGTAAAAAGAAATTATATTTCATAATAAATGCTGATGCAATAATCATTTTGGGTGTTTTTTTTAATGATACATCCAAGTTGGAAGGTTTTAATCAGTATATTGATTTTATACTTTCCGGAAACCATTTGATACGAAATGTTTTGCAGAAATTGAAATTGAATAAGGGTACTGCAGTTTAACAGACGTCTATAGATTATGATGTGGTACACATGTACACAGAACTGAAATTCTGAGAAATTTATTCTTTTTTCAATTACTTTTGTTTGCCTCATTTTCTTTTTGAAGATAACCTATATAAATCAGTGTCTCAGTAGAGTAATGGAATTCTATACCTGTATGCTTACCTTGACGGCTCAGTCCACATATTATTCAATTCTATTTTTGGATTCTGATGAAAATCACAAATTGTCAGATGATATTAATGGTCTAGGATTTTTTAAATCGATCAACGATTTATTAAATTCATTACAGAAATCAAAAGAAGTAAAATCTCCTGTTTGTATATGTTCTTCAAATAACTCTAACATTTTGGACAAACTTAAAAACTATTCTAATGTAGCATGTGTCTTCATATGTGCAGAACACCATGAAAAACTCAATGAACAAAATCAGGTAAGAAATAATATCAAAGTGAAAGAAGAAAACTTTTCCGATGAATCTGATTTATGGCAAAGGCATGTTCATATTGAAGCCTTTCATGCTAATGCTAACGATGAGCAACGAAATGTCGCCGGTTATACGACAAGTATCACGCAAAATCTCATACGGAAATCTAATAATATATCTCATATTTCAAAGGAAGCAATTTGATGTTAATTTCGACTGAAGATGAAGATGAAATTCAATTCAATGTCGATGTCAATGTGGAATAACTAAAAACATCTATTATTTTCTTCTAATCCAGAAATATCTATATCTTTTATATAACTTTTTTTAAAGATCATTAATACATCTGTCAATGAACATATTTCTATTGTTACTTTTCTTTTTGAAAATGAAAAATTTTATTTTATGTCAACAGACAAACTGTTCAAGAAATTCAACGAAAATATTAATTATGTCTTGTTGCATTGTGACATGAGTTAAATAATTGAAAAGAATATACATGACAAGTACCTGGTTTTTAATGTTGATCGAAACAGCAGTAGCTTTTCTGAAAAACTATAGTGAAGATTTTTGACATCATTTTGTAATTTGGTCAGTTTTGAATATGATCTGTTTTCATTTCTATAAACATCTAAATTCTATGACATGAAAGAAGATAAGCAAAACATTAATTTTCATTTGGTACAGCAGATTACTTGATAAAAATGATTGAAAAACAAAACAAGATAGAGAGAGGAAATGGGAGATATAGAATGTAAGGATACTATTGGTACTGAGTTTTTTCATCAACCGAAACTTTTGATATCACTGTTTCTACACTAATTCTTCGCGCAAGTTGTGACATATCCCGTGATATGCTGAGATTTCAATAGTTTTGCCGCACTTTGGTCATACTTATATTCCACTGAAATTTTATTCGTAAACTTGATTACTTTCTTTTGCGGTGCCGCTGGTACAGATGTTACTTTCGTCGTGGTTGAAACGATTGCTTGTGGTTTTTTGTCACATGTTCCTCTATGCAGTCTTAGTCCCCTTTTGCTCTCATAACTTTTACTATAATTATGGCAGATGTCATGTGTTAATGATGTTGGCGTTCTATTGATTTGACTAGAGATTCTTTTAGAATTAATAATGTGATTCCGTTCTTTCTCCAGTAGTTTTTCTGTTTGCTTTTTGTAGTGCTGTACTATATGTTTTAGTAGGTTGTTCATAGGTTTTCGTCGTATATATTTATTGATGGTGATCCTCTAGTGATCTTTATTCAATGTGTTCTTGCACCAGCACTTGATTCCCAATGTCGTAAAATCATTCGTGATTTTGTCCCACCAACGTTGTTTAACACCGAATGAAAGTTATCGGCTGTTTTCAAAATCCGAAAACATAATCTTCTTTGTAACTCTTTCGTCATCCATTCTGCTAACATGTTCTAGCTATTGCAGCCGTTTTTTTTCTCATGATGTGGTCTAACGAGGATTGGACAGTGTGATCAAGGATCATTTTGTGCAACATTCTATCTTCTAGAGTGATTCCTATTGGTGTTCTCAGGCAACGCATGTAAAGTGTATGGAGCCTTCGCTCTTATGTTCTTGTGAGAGTCTACGTCTCACATCTATACAGAAGCATCAACAGAACACAGGATCGGAAGATCCTTGGCTTAGCTTCGATGGAGACGGTTTTTCTATAATATTCTAATTTTCGTAGCAGGTTGAATACAATTGACGCTTTTGCAATTCCTGTTTCTAATTCTTCTTTTAGTGAACAGTCTTTTGTCAATGAGCATCCAAAATTCGTGAATTTGTCGACTTTTTCCTTTGTTTTCACTCGTGTATTGGGTATTTCTTTGAGTTGATATAGAATCGATAATGGCAAACGTATTTGGTTTTCGCACAAAATGTGCTGATGGACATGCGGAGATAATCTTATCTCGCTTGAGACTTCGTTGAATAGTTGTCTCATTTCCGTCGATTGAGTTTGATGTCTTTCCAGATCAGGTATGTTGCTCATTGCCAAACTAGTGTAGATGACAGTATTTTTCAGCAACAACTTTTTCAGCATTTATTTTGCATTATTATTGGTCAATAAAGTGTAGGTGCTGCTCTAGACCCATGACAACCTCACCCTGACACTTTTTAATGCCCTCACTCTTGCTATGTGGTGTTTCTCACTGTCAATCTGACCCAATTAGTTAAAGGTATTGTTAGTCTGGACAAGAAACAATGTGTTGTGTACGAAACAAACAATATATCTATTACAATATAAAACTAGGGAACAATATTTTTGGTACATCTGTAGATCAGCAACATCCGACACCTGTACTCTTTGACGCGCTCCGTCAGTTAGACCAAACAATCAATAGGATATCACTAATCGAAAGAAGAACTATATTTTTTAAGTGGATATGGAATTTTTCTGCAATTAGACGTATTCAATACACTAACTGTTTTGATTATACATTAATCTGTTTGATTCATGAAAGCAAAGTGATGAATGTGGATAAGGAATTGTGCAGATTGCGTAGAAGCACTCAACAAGAGCTGATGAATAATCATTACTTCAAAAAACAAAATGGTGATCGAAAAGTTTTTTTTTCTGTGTGAATTTATTGGAAAAGAAGACGCATGGTTTTTTCCTTTTACTATACAGAAGAAATTCCATCGAATAAATTATATAGCTTAATTATGGATTAGAAAATACAATGGTTCTCATATTCAATCTTGGTGCAACTCGAAAATAGTTATATTACAGTGGATTGATGATTATCTCAATTGTTTATTTATTATTAAATCATACGAAATCTATTTTCAATACGGCTTCAACAATATCAATTATCTTCTTATTGATTGAAAACAAAAGTAGTGTCAAATGAATAGTAAATAAATGAAGTCTATTCGAAATATACGAGAAGAATAATATATAAACCCTAAAAATCTGTCATTGATTCACTCTAGTATCCCAGTTACACTTTCCTTCTTCTTTTTATGGTTATGCGGAAATTGAAATTTATAATAGCATGAATTTTTGACGATGAAAATTTCATTTTTTTTCTAAGAAAAACTAAACATAAGTCAAGAAAAATCGATATTAATAAATTTTTCTTGTCTGTCAATGTAATAATAAATTAAGCATTTTAATGTATTTAAACACAATAGCATTTTGTTGAGTCGATTTCAGTGTCAAGGCCATATCGTTCAACTTTTGGATCTTTTTCTTTATCAACTACCACCACCCATTTGATAATTTGTTTCTTTGGATCTTTAATACAAAACTCGTCTTTATTTTCATTTTCGTGATTCATATAACATTTATCATAATCTTTATGTCATTCAGAGAATTTTACAAAACTAAACAATTGTTGATCACGTTGTGTACTTTTTCTAGTTGGATAGATCGAGCAAAATATACACCTTTGCCGAGCATTCCTTCTTTACTTGGTCTAAATTCGCTGTGGACAATAGAGACTGCAGCATCCACTGTGGTAGTATGAAAACCAATGTATGTTACTTCAGGATCATTGGTCTTTAGTGCAGACCAACGAGCCTGTGGCTTATCATTTTTACCATGAAAAACAACAACGTGGCTTAAATGTCGATTACGACAAGGATCAGTCGTACACGGACGATCATCTAACATATCTTTTCGTTGAGTATCTCCCACTATATGATAAGGTAAATAACGCTTATGCTTTTGTGATCGACAATGACATCTAGTATCACTTTGAGGAGTATAATGCCACCATACGACATAATGATATAGATCAATAAGAAATGTACCAATTAAAAAAACTAATGAAACTAGACAATAATAAAAATTGGAGAGACCCCGTGAATCCGTTTCTAGAAAACAAAAAAAGAGAAGTAAGACAAAAAATTAACTTTCAAATCTTATGTTAATGAAATTGATATTCTTGGTTTTTATTGATAGTTTAGATATCTTATCGTGCTCTATCAATGTTGCATTTACAGAGAAAAAAATCACGTATTTAGTAAAATACTTCATGAATTAATTATTTTACAATATTACGTAGAAGTAAGATAATAAACTGTCGTATTTCCACTAAGACAAAAAAAAATTTCTTAAAAGACAAAATGACGATTATTTAGCATTTCTTTTTAAAACTACATAAAGAGTCGATGGCATATATTTTCAGATTGAGTGAATTGGGGTTATTAATGCTTATTCTTGCAGTCCAAGACGGTTAGATCCTAATATCTAGCCCACTCAAGTTGATTCGATCTCAAATAGACCAGTTCGAAGCAGTCCATTTTTCAATATCGATCGGTTTCTCAACGTGTTTCTCTCGAGCAATGACCAATCAAGAAATAATCAAGAATAAATAATGTTCGAACATGCATAAGTTCAACATGTTCAACTGAATCAGTTATAAGTAGCTGCACGAGCTAAACAAAACGATAAATGTGAATGGCTAGCCAATAGACTACGACATTTTTCATTTTAGTATGTATTTTTGTTCTTCAAGCATTCATGTTCATGTCTTACTGAAACTATATCTATTTATTGCGCAAGGTATTTAGGACGAAGAGACTTATCAAATTTAAATTTATACAAAATATCTCTTCAAAAAGAAATATTCTGAGCAATAACTAAACAGTGAATGCAAAGATGACAGATTTTTAAAATGTTAGAAGGTCATTAATTTTCATCTGATACTGATTTATACAAATAAATGGCAACACCACGTAATATCAAACATATAAAAAGAAAAACAAATCGTAGGCGAAATCGTAGTTTAGGTCGTGCTCTATAGCATGGGCAATTACAATCAAGTGCAATAAATCGATGAAGTACTTTGAAAGTACAAAAAGTTTTACAACAACCCCTTCCATTGCTTCGTGAACCCGTACGACCAATTGCATAAATACAGATCAAACAGCAAAAACATTGCATTAATGTCAGAAAAAGCAATACAAAAATACACATGAGAGTAGCCGGCACTGAACTAGTCCAATCCAGAATAAATGCAATAGTCATGGGATCAGTCATATCTACTATCTTGGTAGAATTTGATGATCCATCTTTTGTAAGAATAGGAGAGATAAAAATGAAAACTCGAACTACTCCACATATTGCTTCGGAAAGAGATAATAATGCTAAGAGTATGATTCGAGCTTTGTAAAAACACGGACAATTGCAGCAGCACATTTTTTTTTCTATCTAATTTCTATTACAATTTGCGTAAGTACTGAAAAAAAGAATATAAAAATCTTCTTATCTCGAATCTATTGTTGTTGCAGTAAAACAAACGATAACCATTACCTACTAGAAAAAAAATAACTATAATAATCATAAAATACACTAAAAAATTCTTATGATACATTTTAGTAAGTGATGCGATGGAATGAAAACTATTTTTCATATATATCCAATTGCTGGAACAATTAATTTTAACACAATAATCAGATTTTTGATGTCGAACAAAATTGTTTTACTATCTTAACTTGCGACTTGACGAATATGTTTTTATAACCTAGCATCTATAACTTGATGATTATTATTGTCATCGATACAGCATGTCTCATTAAAACTCTTTTCACAGTTCATTCAATGGTTCTAGGAAATCAATTGTTTTCCAGATGGAAGTTTCAAATTGTAATATACTGAGAGATTTCTTTCTTTTATTTTGACAGGATTTATCATATTTCTGTCTTAATAAGATACTTTGAAATTAAGTTGTCCATTTTTCCACCCATTATTCTTAATATATAATGTACTTTTATCTTATCTGCTTGAAGCGTCTCAGTTTTGCGAAGCATGTTGCAAAACTAAATGTCTTTCGATGAAAAAGACTCGAAGAGGTGCGCTCTTTACATTTTAGTTAGTTTTTTTTGGATGATGTTTGCATTTTTGATAATCAATAACTTTTTATTGGTACAAGACATTGTACTTTTTGTAAGTTGAGCAGATATGTATTAAATTGAAAAAAAAGGAAAAATGCATAATTTAACATATTTTCTTCATTAGAATCATAAAGATTAATCGTAGATAATTGTTTGAAAAAGAACGTAACAAATTATTTGATCGAAAAAAGTTTGACGAACTTCAGGTCGCTGTTCCTATTAGATGGTTATTTCATTAATGATGCATTTAAAAATAATAACAACATAACTTCAAATCAATCGATCGGTCCCGGTAATGCATAAAAACTTATTCTAGATTAAAGATACTCGAGAAATTTTGTAAATTTAATAATGAAGAAATTATTATTTATCAAAGACATGTTATAATTTACGCATCAAGTCAATCGTTGTCGTTGGTACTACGATCTTTCTTAATTTCGTTCGAGAGCAATAAACTTTTCTAAACACTAATAAGTACGAACAGTTGAACTTTATGTAGTTTCGGTAGAATATATATCAAATCTATGAGAATTAATAAGAGACAAAGCAATTAGATTGCTCATTTAATATTAAGTAGATTCCACATCTAGAGATTTAAGATAGATACTAAATTTTTGAAAAATTTCGATATCCATGATCAGTTTTTATGACCGTTTTTATTTAGCTTCTTATCATTATGTTCTCTACAATCCCAATAATTGATGCATCAACTTTCACCTCTTTCCAAATCACCCAAATTACGTTTTGCCGATTCAGAGAAACATCTATAATTATTGTCAATCTGAATAAAATATCAAAAACAATAGTATTCTTTTTTTTACATCGATAAGATGAACATTTTGAATAACTACAGCTTCTACATTGAAATTCGAGTACTGTATAATAAAGTATGAGACATATAGTATTTGTACTATGCATGACAAAAATAAGCAAAATAAAATGGCCGCTGAATCGTTCAATGTAAACACTACTGAAAGTTTTTAGTTTATCCGCAAAGAGTATTGGTAAAGTGCGCTTCGACCCATTTTGAGCGACGTTTTACTTGACACATACACCAGTGATTAGGGCTTGAGATTCTGAGTCTATGAGACCCTACTCTGAGATAAAATCTGAACAAATGTTTAGAAAATGAAATTAAATGTAGTTTTGCTACATATTCGGAACTGACTAGAGCCATCAGGTATTTATCACAACTTCATCTAACGTTAGCTTTTCAAAAATTTATTTGTTTGAACTTCTAGTTCAGAGTAGTTCAAAGTAGAGTCCAATAGACTCACACTCTCAAATTGTATCAATTGGTCTAAGTGCTAAGTAAAACGGCGCTTCGAGCCGATGACAGTGTATTTTACTAGTACCCATACGTAAAAGAACTTTTCATTTCTTTAGATTGTTCTCAATGTTTTAGTTTAATGAGAACTACATATTATTGACATTACTTGATTCTTTTTTATAACATTTCCATAGCGATATAAACAAAATAAAACGTTACTTTATTTCAACGAATCATAAATAAGATAAAAAGAAATTTCAAGAAGAATACTTCATAACAAAGTCATATTTCTGATTATAAAATGATAAGAGTTCGAAAGCTAAAAACCAAAATGCTATACAACATAAAATAAAAAAAGATATATAACACTATTCTTATCAATAGATGTTTGACATTGAATAATATAGAAATTAAAAAAGAAAAAGAATAAGACTTGCATAATATTTCTTGTATTTGACAATGATGATTTTACAAACAGAGAAAAATAAAGAATTTAATACATGAATAAAACATTGTACGATGAACTAATGTAATACATTTCGGTACAGATGAAATATTAAATTATGTTTCATGAAAGAATCAATTATGACGAGATTTTTAGTAGAAAAACAATCTTATTAAACACCGCCCTCTTTTATCTATATTGCCTAAATGGTAAACTGTATTAACCATTCATATTCTATTGATTTAACAAATTCAGATCAGATATCCTTTACTCATTGAAAAAAAAATGATAATCTCTGCAAACAATCGCTCTATCAGTCGACGTATCATTGCCCTTTGTTCGTCTATACTTAACTATTCTACTAAAACGAATGATAAATCCAAACTACCATCGTATACTTCAGAACCAACTAGTCATCTAATAAAAAAATTTAATAATCGTGGTGAATATGAACGTGCATTTGAATTATTTGATATGCTTATTAAACAAAACAATGTTAGTGTGATATCATTATTAACTATTCTTGATACATGTGTTCGATCAAATCATATTGAACGTGGTCGTCAAATTGAAACATTAATTAATCAATCAATTAAATGGAAAGATGATATACGTCTTCAAACATCATTAATTAAAATGTATATGAAATATCAAATGATTGATCAAGGTAAAATATCCAAATTATTCATTAGAAAAAACAAGTCGATTTATTCTAGCTGAACGAATTTTTGAAAGAATTCGTCAATTACCTGAATGTGATGTCGTTGTTTATAATGCTATGCTTGTAAATATGTTTCAAATATTCTTGATAAATTAATCAAACAAAGATTCTTTTAGAAAGGTTATCTTCAAAATCATATAGCTGAACGTTGTTTTCAATGTGTTGATAAAATGCGTCCAAAAATTTTACCTGATAATGTTACTTACATTTTGTTACTTAATGGTAAAAATTTTTAATTTATTTACTAAAATTATTTTTACTAACCTTGTTCTTATTTATAGCTTGTACAATTTTACGTGATGAAAAACATGGTAAAGCTATACATGATGAATTATCATCATCATTGAATATTCAACATGTTCATTTAGAAAATGCATTAATTGATTTTTATGGTAAAATAAATCAAATAAATATTGCTGAAAAAATGTTTAATGAAATGAATTTACGTGAAACAAGTACATATAATACATTAATGAAAGCATATCTTGTTAATAATATGCCATTAAAAGTATTAGAATTATTTGAACAAATGAAACAATCAGATTTAAATACTATTGGACCATTAAGTTTTAAACCTGATTTAATTACATTTATGGCTATTTGTGATGCATGTGAAAAACTTGGAATATTAAATAGTCCAGATAGTTCATATGAACAATATAGTTGGAAAAGAATTTTTTCAAGGATTTCAACAACAGTAAAATAAAACGCATTAGATGCTTTTGTATTGTGATCTTATTTCAGAAAATCTTACTGCAGTTTATCCAGAAAATCGAGAATGCATTAGGAGGTGAAATCATCTCTTGATGCAGATTCAAGTTAACTGACGTGACAATTTCCACAAGTGATAAGTTTTACCACATTAAATAGAACTAATTAAGATTAGATAAAGTAGAAAAGAATTTGTGTCCGTGAGTCTTTCTTCTTAATTGATGATTAGTTTAATGAGTTTTTAACAAAATATCATACTCTCTCTCTCAGATTATCTTCAAAGGTGGGTTTCGAGTCGTGAAAGCGACAAACGGTCGCATGTTTGGAAGAATAATAGTTCCTAATTTACTTTTCACAAACTTCAATTTTCAAGCATGTGACTCAATAAGACATAACATCAAGTGATAATGAGAGTAGCATATGAAAAATGAAGATTTACCTCTTGAAATGTATCCCTATATGATTTCGCTGGTAAATAGTAACTGAAGGTTGACATTCAAATTTTGAATTTATCGAAATGTTACGAAAAGATAAATAGTACATTTATTGTCGAATATCGAAAACTACAGTAGATATAGGCTTGAGAAGGAAAACTTGTGGATTATGGGAAATTTTTAAAGAAATGATGAATTCTTGTGTAAGACTTTACGCTAAATAGGAAGAGTTTCCTAAACATTCGTATTTATACTCATACCTAATGTTCCTCATTCTTGAATAGATTGCTAGTTATATTCTGAACCTCTATGAGTTATTTCTCTATATTGCTAAAGAAGGCTTTTTTGCCGATTTTATTTTTCAGTATTGAGACCAATTGACTTAAGCCCTTTCGAGTTCCAACTTTGCCCCAAATAAAGTTCAAAATGTGACTTGTTCATTGTGAAAGTGCCTCATTTTCTATCATAT